AAAAAGTTTGCCTTACTTCCTTTTAATCCAATTAGTGCCTTTAATTGCCCTGCCAGAGACAATCTTCCTTAGGAAAAGTGAAAGGAAATGGGAAAGGGTGGTTGTGGAGTAGACTGAAACATGAGCCTACACTCTTACCCCATGGCTTGTGCAAGTTTCGGGATTTTTAAATCATTTTAACGAAGATGTTTTTCAAGATCACGTTCTGCACCTGCAAGGAAAGTGTCTTTATAACAACAACCAAAACCACCATCATCTGGGAAACATTCTATCACAGTAGGACTCCGGTGTAATAAAAAACACAGTCAGCTCCCCCACTTTATCCTGTTTTTAAAATACCTGTTGGTAGCTGCTACAGCACTCTCTATATTTCTAAGCAAAATGTAACATAAAATGCCCTGTGTTGAGGACATTGTTACGTTTGTGTAGCAGGTGTGCTTGCTATAGATATACTGGTACTCTAGAAAGACAGGTGTGCAGATCTAAATTGGAAGACAGGTGCGCATTCTTATAGCCAGTCCCATCATGAGGCAGAATGAAGCAGCTACCTCAGGCAGCAGCTTTTGGGTCTTATGAAAAAGTGACAATTATTAGCTATTTCATGTGCATGTTCACTCCCAGCAATAGGGAGAGTTGCCTGTTCCATGTTCTAAACTAATGTTCAGATTAGTTCTAAACTAATTTGTCTTGCTTTGGGGATGTTGCTTTAGCATTTCTTGCTATGCCTCAGGCATGTCTTGGGCTGGCCTTCTGAATATTTAAACTTCCTTATATATGTTCCTGGAAGCCTCCGTAAAATAGCAGTACATGCTTAGGGACACAGTGCATTTTTTGCTGGTCACAGAACTGCAGTGTAAAAACTGGATTCACCAAGAAACAAACATACTTGGACACAAATGTATTACAGAAGAAAAAATGGCTTAGTTCATTTGTTCACCCACTAGCACATGGGCCAGTATACCGATTTTTACAAGCTTAGCCAGAAAAAAATAGAAAAAAAGATGATGATTAGGGAAATAAGTGTACAGAAGGAAAGATACTGCAATGGAAATGGCAAAGCCCGGGATCAGGAGGCTGTTTGAGCAAGGTATCCTGACTGCTAGTGATAATGGTTGTGCAGAAATGGACAGATTTAGGAGAAAGAGAAAAAATGAAGCAGGAACAGATATAAGTGCATGAGTTTAGAGGGAGAAGAACCCAAACACTTCCTGGCTGATTGCAAAAAAGGAAGACTAACGCTGTAGGCACAGACCACCTTCAGCTTTCTCAGCTTTAGTAACAAGTTCAAACATGGGACAATAATGATGGCAAGCCACTTACTGTATGCCTGAATAACCTGTTGTTCAGAAACTAAAAATGGCTCTTTGATGGAAAAGGATAGCGATACAAAACAGAAGCTAAGGGGCACCACAATGTTGACTGAAACCAGATTTGGATTGGAAGCCTCATTGCTGGGGCTGTTAGAGTTTCCACTGCAATCCAAAGATTTCCATTCTACTTGATCCTTTTTGGTGTCAGCTTCTTAGTGTTCTACACTTCCTGCAGGATAAATGTCATATTTAGACAATTCACACATGCATCTTAGTTACCTCCGAGGCACTGAAATAGCTGGATGGAGCATGTCATGCGTGAACCTAGCTCTGGACTCAGTGGGGTGCTTTAGCAAGAATAAAGCTCTCTCTGTGGAGCACATCAAGGTATGTGGATCTACTAGGGAAAACTAGGCAGGAGGGCAGGGCATCCCTGGCCCTGGAAATGTAGTGCTGCAGCATCACAACAGAGCACTGAATTGTGCTAGGAGAATCATAGTGAATGTCCCTATGGACATTTGGACCCTGAAATTATCCTTGGAGCTGAGACTCACCAAAGGATGCTCAAGTACAAAGTATGAGCACCGCCTGCCCAAACCCTGAAGAAGCTGTAGATTCAAAGTGGCTCAGACCAGGAATAGTGAAAACAAAGGGAACAATAGTTTGGTTCTGATACAATCCTTGCACCTTGATTAATTTAGCATCTAGCTGGCTATATAAAGCAGCGCAGTATAGTATGTCAGACAAAAGATATCACCAAGGGTATCCGGACGAGATTAACCTGGGAGATGGAGATGCTTCTCATTAGCACCATTTTTGCTGGAGGTTTTGCCAGGCCCAATCAAAGGAACCCTTGTGGGTTTGTCAGATGGATGATGGCATAGCAATCAGGCAAGTATTTGCATGTTTTCCCTTGGTCATGAGGAGCATTCTTCTTTAATCAAGGACAAAATGAACATTCCATGACTCTTGTGCTTCTTGGGCACTCTAGGAGCCTTACCATCTTCATGGCTTCACAGGCCATGTCTTTCACAACTAAAATACATCCTTGAACCAAGGCATCACAGTAATGCCAATTAAATCCTATGTACAAAATCATGCTGCACAACAGCTAGGTTTGTCTGCATTGCTTTGTTTTGCTTTTTGGAACCTGTGGATTCAAACCTGATTGATTGCTTAGATACAGACACTTTTTTCCTGGAGAAAACAGCACTCAGAAAGATAAGAAAATATTTATGAAATAGAGAAGTATGAAGAAACAAATGGATGGAAATTAAAAATTTTTTGCTAGGTCTACATGAAAGGTTAAATGCTTGGAAGTTTCTAAAATTCAAGCATGAGCTCAGTTGTAACTGAACTGGAATGTAAGTAACTGATGCATGAGCTTAGTTACTTACATTCAAAGTATTACTGGAATGAGTAGCCCAGTAAAACTCACAGATTACCAAAGATGGCATACTGGCCATTCCTTTATATGCTAAAAAGATTCCCAGCTGTGATGCCTAAAAGTTTTAAGTATCTAGATTTCCAAACATTTATGACTTCAGCAAGACAGATAAGTCATTCTCTCACTCTCCCCACCCCCCTACATTGTAAGTGACTTGTTGAACTAACTCCTTAGTCCAAAATCCACTTGCCACAGGAAGCAAAATAGAAGAAAATGGGGGAAATCAAGAAACGCATCAGAAAAACTGGACTCTCTGGATCATGCCTGGGAACCATCCTGGTATGATCAAAGATCATGCTGCCATAGTGCCAGATAAATGAAGTTGTGTGTGTTGATGTGAGGTTTGGGGTTTGTGTATAATTAACATCTGTTGTATGCTGTCTTTCAGCTGAAAGGCAGGATATTATTGATAAACAAATAAACTAAGAGGAAAAATCAGTGGGAGATGGACTGTACCCCAGATACCTGAAATAAAATGAATGAATGAGCAAATTAGTAGGAATAAAATGTAAAGATTTGGCACATCTCACTGAAGAAGGTATGGCAATAAACACAAGAAGGTAAATGAAAAAATAGACAGCAAGGTTTCCATCTACTGTATATTACTTTGTGCTATCTTAGGCAATAAATCCCAGAAAATCACACCTACAATGGGGATTACTGTATTTGTAGCACTGCAAGCAAACATTATCTAGAAAGGCTGGTTTAATCCAGTTTCAACTATTTAGAGAAATGTTTTATTGAGTTTACAAATAATAACCTGCAATATTCCATTTCCATCGCAATACACTAAATCACCTTGGCTAAGTATGTCATCATGGCTATAATTTACATGCTACAAAATGACAGTTAAGATGTACTATGGTAATTTGTGATTGCTTTCAGTATTACTGTAGTATCAAAAATTTATATGGTTCAGTTATTAAGGCAAATTGTTTCATTCATACAGAGAGTCTGACAGTAAACTAAAATTTTTCCAAATTACAAGAGGGGGGAAAATGCCTTCCATGTCAAACAAACTACTTGTGTTCTTTCCACTAATTTGCTCCCTGTGTAGGAGAAAAAAAAAACTGCACAGGATCTTTCATAAGCACAGGAGACATTAATTACCTATTGTATCAAACAAATGAAATCTTGCTCACACTAAACTCTTTAGCAACTGATAGCTCTGAACCAGATGTCCATATTCTTGGGAGAAGATGCAGCTTAATCTTTACTTGCTTTCTTACCTTCTGTCATACTGATTTCTAGCCAATATGAAAAAGTTATAGCAGAGAAGCCTTGAGAAACTACCTTGGGAGATATTCCTAGAGTTTCAAACAAGCTACAGAAAAGTCCCCTACATACAAACCTTCAAATTGCAAGTTTTCAAAGATGCAAACGTGCTTTTGTGTACTTTACTGTAATAAATAAGAGGTGAGTCTAGCAAAGCATAACACAGGTCTCACCATCCTAACAGTAACGCCATATGAGGAAGAACCCATCAGACAAACAACACAGGTGCACTTCTGCACTGTCACGTATCCGAAAGTATAACTTCCGGAAGTCCTCTAGTGATGTCAATGGAAGTCCTCCAGTGTCATTATAAACCTATTACAGTACAGTACCATATAGCCAATTTGATTAGTTGACCACCTAAGCTAACATTGTAGAGTGGTTAGGAAATGACATACATCAACAAGATCTAAGACTTGAAAAGACATTCTAGCTTGTAAATAACTGTGTGGGATTAAACAATGCAATAAAACCTGTAAACATTCTAGTAGTTCCTCATCTGTGGAACTGTAGTGTAAAACTTCCTGCATTCACACATTTTCTAGATTACTAACTCAACATTCTGTCAGCATCTGTGTAAATTAAGTGGGTACAGACCAGCAAAATTTGCAGGAGAGGTATGTGAGATAAATACAACTGGTAAGAAATGCATGTTTTTCTATTCAAGGCAAACCACCAGCCATTTCATTTTGGAAATAATATTGCAAATTACCTGAGCTTTCCTAACAAGAAACCATTAAGAAAACTGTCAGGAGGCTGCAAGAGTGGAAGCATTTTGCTTCATCTCCTTAGCCTTTGTGTTGTATGCCACCAGGATTCTCGGAATGTCTATGCAAATTGCTTTCAGCTTGTAATTTTGCTGAAATATCAAAAATCTGACAAATGGGAACCCAAAAATATATAATTATTTCATCTTTTTGTATTAAAAAAATCAAATTAACACCCATGCAAGGACCATCTGCACTTACTTTGTTGCCCAAATAAGGGCTGGGTGCACTCCAATAATACATCTGTTGAAAAACACTTCTTGCAGCCATGTTGTTGATGCTAAGTTGCTGAGGTCCATCAAAGCTGTCCTGCTGAGGCATAATTCTTGCACGACCAAGTACATCTGTCAGGTACCAGCCATTCATGTCCCCAATCTAGGGAGACAAAAGAAAATACCTTTTTCTATCCACACACTGAAATTTGTATAAGCTCTTCTCATACTTTCTTTCTATACTACTTGTTTCTTTTTTGGTTTTCATATTCATGATGTGGACAGATTCCTATTTAACATAGTGTTTGCCCTACTTCTCCTAGTAAATGAGTACAGAAACTTAGGTGTAAAGGAATTCCTGGTACTTCTATAGTTAGTGATTTTTAGGCCATAGTTAGGCCAGGGGTTTTTATGTCTGCAGCTCGACCACAGTTAAATGAGTTGACGTTCCATCAAATGTAACTTACATCTGGGCAAAGATGCATAGGCTTGTGCTGTAAATAGTTTTTAAAAAAATGACTGTCTGGAAATAGGCAGAAGAAGAAATCTTTTGGAAGAGTTTTTAATTAACATAAATACAAGGCACAGCCTTAGTTTTTTCCTCTTTATATCTGAGGCTAAGGACAAATTCTGAACACAAATATTTCACAACAGTTGAAACATACATGAACAGTAATTTTATGCATGCCAGATTCATAAGAAAGGCATTAAAATTACATTTAATGCATTCAATTTAATATGCAAATTAGATACTGACTGATCTTTATGTTAAAATTAACCAGTCTAGTCCCTATATAAGAAGTATAAAATCATGAATAAGTGAAACAGTGAAACAAAATCATAACCTTGCAATTACAATCATAGTGCTTCCTATAAAGCCAGGATTTGCATGACAATAAAGTAATATAGCAAAAGTCTGTCACAAGAGCTGCTAGCTTCTAACACATCAAATTAAGGAAGAAGGAACTGAACAATTTCTAAATGAGTAGGTTCTCTCAGACTAGGCTTGGGACCATCCATCTTAGAAGCTGGGCTGGTTCTAAGGCTTCCAGTTACAGTAAAAAGGGAAATGATGTATAAATGTAAAGAAAGCTGCTCTGATAGTGATTGCAGATTTTGGGATGACTTTTGTGTCACTGTCTGACAATTTACAGACCTGTAATTCATGCACAAATCCCCATAAAGTGTATTTTTACACAGTATTGAATGGAAGAATTTACACAGTTTTGATCCATGTTTTATATTTTGTATATTTTTTGTGCAACTCAGTTTGCACAAAAATGCACAAAATAACAGTGGAAAAAACCAATCCATAATCTCAAAGTTGGGAAAGCATGTCTGAAATCAGAAATATGGCTGATTTCAGTCCATTGTGGAATTCTCTGGCAACCCTCAAAAGGGACATAGCAAGGAACTGTCTCAAAACCAAAAGTGGAAAATGATTCCAATAGTGGGCTAAGAGAAATATATTAGGATCCAACACATTCCAATATATTATTATATTCTGGCAATAACTGGAGCAATCTAGTACAATCTCTCACATTCACTGCTTTCTCCAGGTACCTGTGCTGATCTTTATGTATAGTTTTCTTATTGTTTTCTGCTACCTGTCTTGCTCCCTGAAAAACTCTGATGCTGAAAGGGTTAGTCAATGCTTTCTCACTTGCTGGATTGGAGACTTCAACCCTTGGGGTTTTATAGTTACCCCTCGCTATACTGCAGGAGGAAAGCAACGCACGATACAGGAAGGGGCTATCTGTACTCCCGGGTCAAGACAGAGATAGGTTAAAAAAATACAGCAACTACCTGGCTGGATCAGAGTTATGCCAACTGCACCTCCAGATTACCCCAACTCTAGCTGTGATCCTATGATCCAGTCAGACTCCTTCATTAAACTGAAAATATATCCACCTAGGTTAAGGTAGACCATCCGTATGATAGGATGGAGTCTCTGAATTGTACAATCTACAAAACACTTCCTTACTAGAGACACACTGAAATAGGAAAGACAAGCCAACTACTCCAATCCCTATAGACTGGACCATCCATGACTGTGCTAAACTCTTTATTACTTGGAGAGTTATCTTCCTGAGATAAGGATTAATGTTTCAATCCCAGGAGAGAGCAGTTTCACTCTCCTATCTAGGAACACAGTAGATTTAAAAAACCTGTTCCTTAGTACATCTGAGGAGCACTGTGGTGTGTGGGGGATTGGGTCTTTGCTAGCCATATTCACCTCTTTGCCAGCCCCTCCTCACCAGAGAATTGCTCTTCAGATACAGACTGCCATTCAAATTGCAAAGAAATAGAGGCAATGGGGCCATTATGCTGTATTGTAGCAGGGCAATCAGGGGCTACTATCAATCTCCAGCTCACATCTTCTGATCCATCAAGAGGCTAGTAAACACCATCCCTAGCTAGGCAGTGAATTGAGGAAGCAATTCTAGCTGGAGTTTCAGCAGAGCAGAATTATATTGCCTTACTATGTCTATAAAGTCTATGGAGCAGAACCAGATAGGTTGAGCCATCTCAGAGTCCAGATGTTTAGGAACAGTAAATACTTGTTCTCTCCAAAAATAAACTGGGCAAATGACATGTTCTGGACAAGTCATATGGCCCCAGGCAGGAGATGATGGCAGTCAAGACTGATGATCTGACAGGAAATGATCCCCATAGTGTATAATTTTCTCACCTAACCTTTCCTGTCCTGCTTTCCTGCTTTCCACTTCCTGCCACCTCCTCCCCAAGGCAAGGGAGAAGAGTAGCAGGAGGCATGTTGGTCCAAAGGAGGTGGGCAGCAGCCCCATTTTGAGTTTGATCCATCTCAAAGAAAGCTTGACCCAACTCAAAGGGAGGTCAATCGTTCTGTTTTCCTTTGTCTTTCCAACATTCCTGTTTTCAAATGTTCACTCTCTTCTTGCTGCAATTCTCAATTTATTTGAAATTAATGGGTTTTTCCTTATGAACTAATTAATTCCTCACCCATTCCTACACATGCAATCATAAAACAGAAGGGCTGCCCTATTTTTAAGTTTTTTTTTTTAAATACCAAAGTAGAAAGCTTCCCCCCTCACAAAAAGTACATAACTAACAAACATCTTGCAGCATCTTATCTATCAGAATAGTTTCTGTTCCAAATGCTGTGCACCTTTACTGTGAGAATGCCCAGTCTTCTTCAGCATAAATAAGTAAATTTTCAGTCATTAATTGTCAGTCCAATTGTTTAACAGACCCTTTTAGTTTTCTTGCTTGAAATCTTCATCAGAGATCAAGCATCACTTCAGCTGCATCATGTTTAAGAGGCAAATTGGGTATATGTGGAACCACTTGTCCTGGAAACTCCTAACATTATGGATTTCATATGTCACTTCTAGGAACAAGGCTTGCTCAAGGCTAAATGCTTGTTCGTGGACCAGATGCTATCCAATGGCTCTTCTGTGAGCTGGAACTCTCAGGCCACAATGGAAAGTGGAGAGGTTCCAATGATACAAACCACTCTTTCTGTGATACAAATCACCTCCTCTGGAAGCAACAGAGAACTGCAGGGGATCAAGAAAAACAACTGAGTTTTATCCCATCCAGGAATACAAGAAACGTCAAAACTTTTTGACTTCCTCAATTCAGCAAGAGTTTGCTCTTGTAACATTTCTTGAGACCATCTGAAAAATAATTTATCACACCTATTATCCCAGCACCTTGTGCAGACCTTATTGGTAAATGTATCAATAAAATATTTCAGATGTATACTTTCCCTAACGTCTGTGAGACTACAGGAATATGTGTTTCTGCTTGAAGCTTCTGTTAATTGAGCCTTCAGCTCTGGTTTGTATACAACTTAGTTCACCCTCCAGCACAGTGGATTCTTCTCCCCCTGCAGACCCCTGGAACCCAGAATCTGCTCTGGATGGTTTATGGACCCTTTAGAGAAGATCTGGATGGGTACATGGGTATGCTGAGGGGAGTAATGGAAAGGTAAATCCTGTTACACAAGAAGTCCACTTGTATGAGATTGTATGTCACACATACGAGAACTATACAATTTCTGTCTCATCCTTTTCCCACCGATGCTCAAAGAACAATTGCCTGGATTAATTTTGCTTTCATTTTCCTCTTTGGCATGTGTTGTAGAACACCTCTCCAGTGTAAAAATTTCCATTTGGCTTTTCCATGTGAAAAATGGTCTTATCTTATTCTTCGGGAAAACTTTCTGCAAGTATACCACAGCATAAGGATATCTTGAAGCAAGACCATTTTTAAAAGAAAGGACACACTGGCAGTGCATATACAATGAATTTCCTTTTCCTTACAGTGCTGTAGGTCCAGCGAGAGCCCACACAATTCCTGGTTATTCCTGAGCAGAAACATGGTTCGCAGCCCTGGGGGTTGTCTTGCTGCAGGTTAAAGAAGCCTGGCTTACACTGATCACAGTTTTGTCCTTCCACATAGTCCTGAAAATGCACATTAAACTATTAGTTCACACTTTATTGCTAAAGCAATCCATATTTTGTTCATTTTGTGCTTTCATTTTATTTTAATAATAAAAATTAATATTAACCCCTGACTGGACAAATGTTTTACCTTTTATATTTTACATATTTTATTTTTTAAAGTTGTTTTTACATTGACTCAAATGCACCTTAAGCAAAAGAGCAATGCAAAAATTAATAACTAATAATAAAATATATATCACAATGAAGCGTAAATTGTTTAAAGAATAATTTAGTCATCTGGTGGGTCACATAAGATCCCAAGCTAACCATGCTACTCAGACCTAACTGCATTGGACTTTTTAAAATGCAATATATATTTTAAATAACCCTGACATTGCAGATACAACAGTGGAACTTAAATACAAAATTGAAATGATATGTGAGTTTGCTAAGCATATTACTTGGATGAAAGTGCCACTGATTTCCAATGAACTTAACTTTTGTGTGCTATGTTTAAGAATGAGATTCTAAGATTTTTTTTAATGTAGTATCACCACCTTTAATGTAGTATCACCACCATCTGAAAGCATGTCTATGAACATTGTTCTCTGTGTTTTTATTTTTCAGCTTGTTGATTGACAGGTCTATATAAAAGCGCTCCATGCCTTGGTATGGAAACCATCACATCTCAACACCTTCCTATGCAGCTGTGGCAAAGTTAGGAGGGTCAGAACCATATCAACAGACCAATCATTTTTATTCTTCCCATGCGGCCACAATCCTCTCTCTTGATTTGATAAGAACCACATGGGATGGACATGCACACTCTTGACCCTATCCATGGAATTTCAAAAGCATATAAAATGAAAAACAGAAATCTTCTTGGGGTAGGTGACCTGTTAAACCTGTTTTTTGTGAAGTGCCACATGCATGGATGGTATTATTTATATGTAAATAAACTGGAACCTACTCTTGCACTGCTGAAGTCACTTGTTCATCCCACCTCAGTTGAGGGTTAATTTTATACTAAAAACTCAGACATTCCCCCAGAATTTTCCAGATAATGCAAAATAGGGTCATCAATCTTGAAACCCAGATTCTGCTTACTCTAGAACATCTCCACCGATCTTCATCGAAGTGAAACTTATATCCCCCAGTGTGCTGAAGTTTGACTTTTCACGTGAAAGATGCCATTTAGGTCAATGAAAAGTGTCAGCAGAAAACCTTCCACTGTGCTCTTTTTTGCATTTGTCAGGCCTTTTCACAACCATTATTTCTCCAATCTCTTGCTGCTTTGGCACTATTTTTTAAAAACTGAAACGACTTTTTCACTGTATGATCCCAGACAGTCAGGGATGACGCACTGAATGTGGCAGTGTAATAGCACAATGCTTCTAAGCAGTTTTTGCTATGTGATGATGTCCATGAGGACTGGTCTATTGCCCTCACTCTGAGGGAAGGGAGAGAGGATCAGCATTCCCATTATCCAGGCAACTGGCCAGACACTCTCCAAAATGGTCTGGATGTCATGATTACCCAAGCTTTTCGTAAGAACAGAACAGTCATGAAAGAGCTGGAGCAAGCAAATGTGTGTGCTGACGGTCAGCTCTGATTATTCCCCCTGAGCTAAACAACCAAGAGATGCTCTGCTCCTGAGTTGCTTAGTGTGATGTCTGAACACACAGCTCTGGGTTGCTATCCAGGCTGCAGTGGGAGTGAATGGCAGGCCAAGAACCAGCCTGGTCACCCAGTTCTCTCACAACAACATGAATGTCTGGGAAAAGCTGAGGAGTTTGGGACCTGTTCCCATCTAAGAATGCATAGAATTATGCCCTAAGAGATCACACTGACATCAGAAATATTTACTTCCAGAGGGGACTCTCAATTGCTTTCCACTCAGGGAACAAGAAGAAAGGTGAGCCAAAGGGATTCTTATCTTTTTTAGTACAGATGAACAGTTCAAGCTCTGAAAAAAAAAAAAAAAAGTTGACTGCGAGCCATACCTTGCACCTGCAGGGCCCTTGGCAAGGGTCATCGTTTAAACTGCCTTTCAAAGAGCAGTTGCAGGGTACACAGTGCGGAAAGCCTTTGTAACCCAGGGCACAGCGATCACACCGCTCTCCTCCAAAGCCAGGTTTGCAGTGGCAGAATCCAGGAAGCAGGTCTACAGCAAGATGACGCAAGCAGTAAGTTCAGCAAGTCATTCATCATATCAGTATAATCATTTCACAGACATATTCTGCCATGGTCCTTCTGTGGTGGGCAATGTAGGCACTATGTGGAGTATTTGATATTTGACTTACATTCTTTTTGCCTTGCCTCGCCTCGCCTTTACAATAAGGGATTTTGTAAGGTTTAATGTAATAAATATTGGTTTGATCTTTAGACTGAGATATATTATACCTATGCTTTATGTACTGCATCCTTTAAAAGTAACCAACTTCTGTAAAAGTAGGTAACTTTTTCATATATTCCATAAAAGATACCCATGGAGGCCAACCTGCTGCCAGTTATTTTATCTATGTAGTAGTAGGTTACACTGCCCTCTATGCCGACACTTTTAATAGACTCTAGGGTGCAAGCCTATGGTGTCCTGACATTATCCTGGAGACCACAGGACTTTTCAGAGCCCTCTACCTGTGGTGCTTGAACTCTGAAGGAACCACACCAGTTGTCCCATCCCCAGGTCACATCTGGGCCTTGGAGTGGAAAAAGTGGGCATTCCAGAGATAGGAAAAGGATGGGGCAGTAGCTACAGGTTAGTGCCCCTTCTAATCTGCCCCCCAGCCTCCTTCCTTGTCAGCCCTAAATCTAGTTGGCCAAAAATGTCTGCCTGGATATCATCACTGCTGCACCTAATATTTTGCATTGGATGCTAGTAAACCTCTGAGTTCAGCGGATCACAAACACCTCTTCAGTACATGTTAGGACTACACCACTAATAGCATTTAGTGGCATACCAGTGGCACATGTCAGTTGTTTTTTCTTTTAACAGATATGAAAGACATTTTCATTATTTCTGTTGTTTTACATTCATTATTTCTGTTGTTTTACATTAAAATTTTTTGTTGTTTTTACTGTAATTGTATTTTGCATTCTGTGAATAATTGTTACCGGTGCAGAGAGCTTTTGCTATTGGGTGATATACAAGAGAAGGAGAAGGAGAAGGAATGTGGAGGGGGAGCAACATTTTTTTCTATGTTTAATACGATTTCAGGGAATGTCAGGGGATTGCAGAATTTAAATCAGCAGAAGAAAGTGTTTGCTAAGTGAAAGAGCTTACTGCTGATGTGGCCTTTCTTTCTTTTTACAGGAAAGCCCGGCGGATGGCTGCTGCTGAACATTCGTTGAAAAAAGGCTGGGCTGGGGAGGCCTGTGTGACACACACTTTGATGCAGTTTAAAGGGATTGCTATTTGGATTCATAAGCAACTTTTCAGTTCAACATGTAACTTTTGATCCCAATGGCCACTTCTTATTCTGGTTGAAAACTATTGCTAAAATTATCTCCAGGATTAATATGTATGGGTCTAATAATCATTCTCCTGTTGTGATTCATGATTTTTTTTTAGCAAATTGGTTGACACCACTTCAGAGTATTTGATTGTGGCCAAGGACTTTAATGAGATTTTATCTCCTCTGCTAGACAGGAGTGTTCAATGCACTCAAAAGGAAAACAGTGGTGAGGTTTGCACTTCAGGCCTATATGGCTGAAGTTAGTTTGATGGATGCTTGCAAAATTTTGTCTCCTGGAGAGAAAGAGCACACCTTCATTCTATCTATCCATCAGAACTGCTTTTGTTTTGGGGTTGATACATTCTTGCTGTCAAATTCATGTTTGAAGGATTGATATACTGGTAGTCTCAGACCATTCCCAGTCTGGTAGGAGTCAGTATTTTCAGATTGGCTAGCATCTAATGGTTTCTGGTGCTTTAATGTTTCTATTCTTAATTATGAGGTATTTGAAAATTAGATTTCCACTGAGTTACTTGAACATTTTAATATTAATCAGGATATTGTTGATCCTTGTGCCAATGAGTGGTGCGGGGGTGTTCAACAAAACTTTTACACTAGATTAAATTATTGCTTCTGCTACCTGTTTTATTTTAATGCAACAAAAACCTTTAACACCCCCTTTTGGTGCATCTAGTTTTGCTGCTTTCCCCACCCTTTATTTTCCAATTGTTAACCAAGCAATTGAGAACTGTGTGCAAAATAGCCTGTAGTCAGGCTGATTTTGTCGATCTTGTCAAATCTGTTTTCAGGCTCAAGCTGAAACTTGTAAGACTATTGACAAGGTAAGACAAAATATATCATACAGCCATACTTGTGAGTTTCTTTATATGCAAAAGACTGCCAAATTTCTTAAAACTATAAAAATACTTGAGCAATTTTCTGTGTCCATTTTTTTTAAGAGCCAGGGATGATCTCTGGGCATTGAGGGAAAGGCTATTGGTGGCGATGGTGTGAGGGGATCACAAAGAGGAGCAGGAGAATTTGATACTCTTATCACATGTTTTGCTAGCCAGTCCCCTCAGACAGAATGCATCTCCTGGTAACCCATCCTAGGTCAAACAATCCCTGGAGCTAGGTAGATTGTCAGGTTGGCTTGTCTTCTCCTATCCCCACCTCAAAAAAAGCCATGCTGCAGAAGATGTTGTAGATTCTGATAACATGACAACCTACCATGGCTAGTTAGTCATGATGGTTGTCATGTCATGAGAATCCAGTCAATAAATGTCACACAAGCAACAAATACCTAAAGTATTGATGCAAAGTTATTCTCAAGCGTATTGCAGGCAAAAATGGTGTACATTCTGAGCTAAGATAGCTGGACCACAAATAGTCAAATTGACTACTTCAGGCTTGATGCATGCTCACAAAGATGTTTAAGAAACTTGGGGCATGTGTGTGTTATCTATAGGATTAGATTTTACATAAAGTCAGATGCTGATCAGCTTGCACGTTCAGACATTTCGTGAATATGCAGCAAACATGATGTTCCTTAATGATGTCAGTGCGGCAGCCAGTGATTGTACCAGCACAGAAAGTACTGCTACGCCATGACTGCAGAATACATTGCTGACATTATAGCTGTATCCAGTGATCCTTTGCCTTAGAGTACCACAAAGATAACATGCACAACCTTTAACTTCTGAAGGAATCATTCATTACTACCACTTCCCTCAGAGGCAGGTTTTTCTGTTTAGTGCAAGCAGTGCTGTTTTGTCATAGAATGCACTGGAACAGAGTTCTGGCACCTTTTTTCGACAGTTTTTCCAAGTTTTAAAAGTAACGTTTGAAAATTTGATGTTTGGTCCACATGGATTCGAATTGCCCTGTTGAGCGTAGCAGGTTGGCAGCAAAATCATTAAAATGGTGCATGCGGGCTGCTTCAGTGTCGAATCCGATGCATGAGTACTTCGTCCACGCTGGTTGTGATGGTGCTTTTCGGCTTGTGGTGCTGCTCGGCTTGTGGTGCTGCTCGGCTTGTAATGAGTTGTGTGGTTGCGTGCTGAATGCTTAGTGCGGGCGGCGACCGTTATGTTTCCTTACACAACTGACGTGTGTAGGTGTGTGTACAGTGGTTGACTACATGTGAAAGGTAAATAATTTCATGAGTTTTTTTCCTTTTTTCTTACAAAAAAATCACTGAGTGCAAGTAAACCTTTTTCTGCACAGCAAACAGCTAGCAGCTACAAAATCAATTTCAGTATACCTAATGTGCATTTATAGAATCATAGAACCATAGAATAATAGAGTTGGAAGGGGCCTGTAAGGCCATCAAATCCAGGTCCCTTCTTAGTGCAGGACTCCTAGTTAAATCATCCCTCTCGGATGGCTGTCTAGTTGCATTCTGAATGCTTCTAGTATGGGAGAGCCCGCAACTTTCCTAGGCAATTGGTTCCATTGTCGGACTGCTCCAATAGCCAGGAAGTTCTTCCTGATGTTCAGCCAGAACCTCGCTTCCTGTAACTTGAGCCTTTTATTCGATGTCTTGCACTTTGGGGTGATTGACAAGAAATCCTTTCCTTCTTCTGACAGCCTTTCAAGTACTTGTAGAGTGCTGACATATCTCCCCTCAGTCTTCTCTTCTCAAGGCAAAGCATGCCCATTTCTTTCACTCTCTCCTCACAGGGATTTGTTTCTAGTCCCTGGATCATCCTTCTTGCCCTCCTCTGAACGCTTTCCAGCTTGTCTTCATCTTTCTTAAACTATGGTGCTCAAAACTGGGTGTAGTACTCCAGATGAAGCCTAACCCATTCTGAGTAAAGAGGAACTAGTACTTCACATGATTTGGAAGTGATTCTTCTATTAATGCAGCCTCAAATGGCATCTGCCCCGTTTTGTAGACACATCACATTATTGATTCATATTCACAATGTTGTAATCTACAACAATTCCAAGATCCTTCTCACTTACAGTATCGTTGTGCTAAGTATTACCCATCTTATATTGATGCAGTTTTGTGTCATCTGCAAATCTGAGCATCATTCCCTGCACTTCCTCATCCATATTTTTAATGAAAATGTTAACGAGCACTGGGGCCAGGACTGAGCCCTGCCATACCCCACTTGTTATCTCTCCTCAGTGTGAGAAAGTGCCATTGATGAACACTCTGAGTCTAATTCTGTAGCCAACTAATTTGCAAACATTCAAACAAAATCCAGTGGAAATGTAAAATGTGTTTTTGGGCTTTTCTTCAAATAACTCCCAGCTTTTTCTGGCTTACATAGATTGAAGCAAATTGGCTTTTTTGGTTGACATTTTATGGATAACTACCATTTTTCCTGGCTTCATGGAAGCAGCTTGTACTAGTGACTCACTGCTGGACTCAATACATAGATTTTTCTTCCCTTCCTTCTCAACTGGGTAGCACAATTTCATACACAGTTACAGCAAATGACTATATTTTAAATGCAGATACTAAAGCTAGATATTTTCTTCCTGTCTCAGTGTGGGTTTCATTGAGAAAAGAGAGAGAGAGAAGGAAAGACATGCAGACAGACAGACAGACAGGTATTGCCCAAGAGACAGAGAGAGAGAGAGAGAAATTGGAATCCCATAATATTCTGCTCCATTTTAGGTGGCAAGGTGCTCTTGTATCGTACTAACCTGAACCAAGTCCTATATAATATCTTGCCTGCATAACATCTTGGGGAATGCCTGCAATCAAAATTCACCAGGCATTTTTCATGTGCACTGATCAGAGGCTGCCAAGAGCTTTATTTTTAATTCTTGACAGCTGTCAAAAGGAATTCTGTCAGGACCTACCAAAGCAGCAAGTGATCTTTGCCTGGCAAACTGGAATGTCTGGCAGACTAGCCCCTTTGTGGAGAAATCCTTCAAGAGGTTGCTTTGGACTTCACTCATGTTAGGTTCTTCCTACTTTTTCATCTTTTCCTGAAAGTCTAGAAGCATGGGAAAGTGGGAAAGTGCTAGCCATCCTCCTTTAATGGAGTTGACATGGGAGTTGACAGCTAAATGTCTAAAGTCCAGTTCCTTTTCAAAGGGGTTCCTTGACAGGACTATAGAAAGTTTTTTGACTGGGACATATGCATGTATACGTGCATAGCACCCTGTGAACCAAACACAGGTAGCCTTGTAGAACAAAAACAGCAGTACAAACACTTAAAAAAAACAGAGTTCTTACCATTACCTGTCAAACCTCTGTGCTCCTAAAAAATGACATAATTTGGACTTTTTCACCTTCCCAAGTATCCAAAGTCTTAGCCAAAAATCTCTCACAATGCCTAATATACAATCACTTGTTTAGATAATACTAAAACAAGACAGTTATGATGCAGCCCTGACCTACAGGCTTACAATCTAAAATAGGAATGATACATAAGGAAAAAGGGATGGGAAAGGAAGAGGAAAAGTCAATGAGACTTTACACACAGCTTATGGAATGGCTGTGCTTCCACTCACATCTTCTTACAGACAGCTTGCACTCATGAATTAAACATGGGTACCCCAATTTTATTAACTGTTTCTCAGCATGAATGAGGGCCAAACTAGATATTACACATAGCAATAACTGAAAACAGCATTCAAGGGAATAACCTCCTTTCTGCCTACAGTTTAGGAGAATTTTTCCATGTACTAACTTCACAGTGCTCTGTGTTCACAGACAATCTGTATCATTGCTTGCAGAGGCTGATTGCGCAAATGTAGTACATCAAGGCATGGGTACTGGATGCTCAGGCAGCGAGATGCACATGTGCCATTTCTGGAAGAAATGTTTTCCATGCATCTATTGCTATGTACTTTGAGTGTCTGCACAAGGCTATTACTCTCATATTTTAAGGGTGAGGCACCATCATTCTAATTTTGAATGTATGAATGAGGTTAATGCTGCTTCTTGACTTCTAACTTATAATGATTTACTCTTCTTAATTTTTCCATATGATCACTTATGTGTTTGGACTAAGTGTCTGTTATCAGCATTATGTGCCTTGAAGAAAATTTGTCCTTGGAAGAGTTCTGGCACTCCAAATGAACGTGAGCACTAGAAAGACCTAACACAGTACTCACTGTACAATATAAACTACTTAAGGCTTATCAGACGACAACTCTTACACTTGCAGCTCTACACAGTTAATAAACAGGCAGATAAATGTGACCCCTTCTGAAAGGCCTTAGTCTGGTTTTCAAGTGCAAATAAGAACAGAAAAGAGAATACTGGGAATTTGAATTATTTCTAATCAGTCTCTCTGGAGGAGAAGTCTCCTTGCTCTTGGCAATAGGATGAAAAAAAATCCTTCACAAGGATGCAAATGCAGGTTTAGATGTACAACTCTTTTTTGAGGATAGAATGTAGAGTGCACACCAGGGGAAACAGTTGGATACGTATTCTGTGTGCATTTTTGTACAGAACTTTGAGAACTACCTTTCCAAAAATAACAAGAGGAAAAAGAGGAAGAAAACAAGAAAAATTAAAAGCCCATAGGGTAGAGATTCCCACCCCTCACTCCCCACCCGCTGCAAGTGTCACAACATGGAGAACTAAAAGAAAGCATAACGGCGGGGAAAAGAACTAGTAGGTCTCCGAGGGGAAGCGCGGCAAGAATACAGGCGAGCAGATTTGAAAAGGTCTCCTGTGAGACAGTATTTCTGAGAGGACTGGCATGGAGAAAAGAGGTAACTACTCAACATTCATTTCAACAAAGTGGTACATACTGTTTAACACGGTGACCTAGTCCAGAACCTCACCTCCTGAAGCGTGTTTTTCGTCCTTGACGCAAGTGCCATCTAAACTGCCGATCGAATAGCAGTGACATTGCCGGCATGGGTGGGGATCACCTGGTAGCACCTGTGAACACAAAGCATAGGTAATAAGGCTACTAGGTAACTCTTCTGATAATGCAACTTTACAACATCAGGAACCACGAGAACAACCCTGTATGATATTCAAAAGTGTGTGTTGTATTCCACAATCTTTCCCTGGCTTTCTTCTCAGGGGTAGTTATAATTATATTCCTCCATCGTGGGAAAACAGAACCATAGAGAAGTGGTGCTTATGGAATAATACTCTGTCAATTCAAACTGAAGTATTAGCCAGAGGCCCTGATCCTCAGGTGCATTCTTTCACATCTACACAATGTACATTCATATTTTTGCAAATCTAGGAGGCAGTGAGTAGGCTGCAAGAATTAGAATTTAACCTTCATAAAAAAAGCATGTCTTTTCCGTTTAATAACTGAGCACCTGTCACTAAATGATGCCTCCAACAATGGAACATTGAATAGTGCATCCTTTACCCCTTTCAGCCTGAAGTATCCATCAATGCAGGTTTCACAATTGATGCCCGCAGTGTTCTGAGTGCAGTTGATACACACACCACCCCCAATGTATTGCCCATGGATGTTCAGACTCTGCTTCCTGTCCGCCACAGCCTGATCATAGTAACATTCTTCAGTTTTCCCATGACAGTTGCAGGCTGGGGAAGAAAGAAAAAGTGCATTAGCAAACATCACATCTAGTCTGCAGACAAGTAGAAACAACATTTTTTACCAGAGTATTAACAATATTCTTTCATCATTTTGACACTAGCGCTATGCATATTGAAACAAATGGCACCAATGCCTTTCTTACACAGAACTTTTTCTGCTCTTTAAATTAATAAGGACCACTCATGAATGATGTTGAAGCATTCATCTGGATAGTGCCTTTCCAGATCTTTTTGTTAGTAGAAGGACAATCTGCAGTGCCTTTTCACTCATTGCCATGTACAAAGTGTAAACTACCCTATTAAAATTAGCAGAAGTGTGCAGCATTTCCTAAGCACATTGCTTGCTCATGGAAAGATCACTTAATAGAAGGCCATTTTTAAAAATATTCTTTGTACTTCACTGTTATTAAATAAAAGTTCAACCTTTTAACCTTTTAAAGTTCAACCTTTGAGAAATATACAAATAAAATATAGTTGTTCACACTGGCAAATTTGACCTCAGTGTATTTTCTGCCCACTCTGAATTCTATTCTCAGAAGTAGGCCAGGCTGGCTTTTTTTTAAAAAGGCTTCTGTGATTAAACAAATGCTAAGGGAATTTGTGCAAAACATATGATGGGCACAAGTTGGATATTGAACTATGGGATTTGCTCAAATTGCACAAAGTATTTTTCTGCTTCCAATTTGTGCTAATGATACACTTTGTCATGAGCTAGGCATTCCCTCCCATTCAAGGAGGGACTCTACAGCAATTCTTGTAAACATCTTTATTCTACATAGAAGATTCTGACCATTCACAAGCCTCTGCGCATACAGAAAAAAAATCTCTCCCACCCTTTACCCAAAGATTTGCTTACGAACCCTTCGGGGCCTGTCTCTGGAAGGAGAGGCGCTATGGAACTGGGTTTGCCTCTGTTCTGCACTGAGCCCCTAACTGGGTCAGCCTACGGCTGTGAAGACAAGCCCTCAGGTCCACATCTTCAGGAGGCCGGCATTCACCATCCAAGAGACTACCCATTTCCAAATCTCCTCCCTCCCGTCTTGCTTCTGCTTCAATCCCACAGGCAGGGAGATTGGGCCCCATGGGTGTCCTTGAGCTACTTTCATCCAGAGCAGGCTCAGACTGGTACTGAGAGACTGAGTCTGCAGGTGCAGGCCTCTCTGTTACAATTCCGTTATGAGAAGTTCAGCTCTGAGACTCCTCTGGTTCAGCCAACTCCATATCATCCTCAGAGTCTGAGCTATCAGTCCAGCAAAACAGGCCACTTCTCATGCGCACCTGGGAATCTCACCAGAGTGTGTGCACACAACATACTTTGTGCAAAGAGCACTAATCCAAATCTCATGATTTGCACTTGTTTCCTTAGTGGTGTTTTTAAAAATGCACAAATCATATCCTGTCCTAGAGACAATACTGTGGCCCAGCTTAAACAATGAATCAGTATGAGGACAGACCTGGAGAACTGAAATCTGGAGGGTTAGATTGTGAAAATCTATTGGATTTTCATTCTGCCATCTTCATTTATACTTATTCGAACTGTACTTCCTAGAAACCTTTGCTGTGTGAACACAAAAAATGAACACATCTGAAGGGTACAACCCATTCAAGGTAAACCACTAGTAAATCCCAATGTTTTCCATAGTGATATGGCTAAATTTTCCCACTGAAATTAACCAGGTTTTAAATAGCCTCATACAATTAAAGGAAACTATAACCAGATAATTTCAAAAATCCATAGAAATAGCAAAGGATTTTTAATTGTGCATTTAAATAGGAGTCACTAAAAGAGGTGATTATAATTTCTGGTGTTTATTTATGTCAATTGTAACCAGCTGTTTTTTCCTCCAAGAAGCTCAGTGGCTTACACACAGTTCCCAGACAGACAGCTTGCAGGGCCAGACCCGGGTATGTCATGATGAATATGTAGACGGTCTCTTTGTTTTGTCAAATGTCATAAACAACATCTAATATATTCTTTCCATTACCTTCACACTCGTGCTTTACAAGGAAGGTCCCAGCTTGCCAGGGCTTCTGATTAAATCCAGGACAACACCGATCACAGCTCTCTCCACAGGTGTTGTGTTCACATTCACAAGAAGATCTCTAATTGATTTTTAAAAAAAGGTAAAGACATTAGAGCACCTAAAAAGGAAGAATCCTAAACATCTCTTAGTGACAGTTCAGTTGAGGCAGGCATATGCCAGTGCACACTGCAGTTCTATGCAGAAAGGAAGAAGAAGGGATGGTTCACATCATGGCTGCAGAACCCTTTCAGCCCAGGACTGGATTCAATTTAGGATAAGCTCCTGGGGGCCACTTTCCACTGGTGGTTGCAGCCAAAGACAAAGGGGTGAGGCCAAAAACACCAGCATACCAGTAGGCTATAGCTTTTGCTGCCAGTTACTAAACCTTGAGAGAAATGATTCAGCTTTTCAGAATGTGGAGGAATGGCGCAAAAGCTGAGAAATCACTACATGATGGATGGTTGAAGGGAGAGAGTAGTCCTGGGGAAGAACATGACATTCTTGCTTGGGACCCCTCAAGTGCTAGACCACCCCAGGCCTGACATTGTATACCCCTGCTTTGCATGTTCTGTCACTCCTACTTTGCCTGTGGCAGCAGGAGCCTGGATGACATAAAGCAAAGCAGAGAGCCTTATGGCTAATGGGGCGAGTTAGAAAATAAATAAATAAGTAAGTAAGTAAGTAAGTAAGTAAGTAAGTAAGTAAGTAAGTTGTAGTAGTACCAGTAATGCCAGACTCGGCTTGCAAGGCTGTGCAGTGCTGGCTTGGGAAAGCACAACACGGCTTCTCTTTCCTTGCTCATTCCGTGCTGCTGACACAGTCACTTTGGCTCAAACAGAAGCCACAAACACACCACAGTGAGGAGAGGTTACACATAGGTATACTGGGCTGTACTGGGTTGCTGGATAAGAACTGCTTCAGCCAGATCTCTCATCAGCTGTTAATAGGCAATCAGACTACCCTCTTAAGGGTATTGGTTGGCGTGTTTGAACCAGTGCTCCAGTAGGTCCATATTTTGCACTCTGTTCATAGGCAAAGAGTAGTCATCAGAGATGCCAGCTCAAGTTCTCAGTGTGCCATAGGACTCAGTATTCAATGATATTCAATGTGTATATGCAGACACGGGAGTTTTGAGGTAGGGTACCATCTGCATGCCAAAGACACTCAGCCCTTTCTTCCATTGATTAAGTGACAAGGAGCACTGTCTCAGTTCTAAGAAAGGGTATCAAAACTGATGAGATCACTGAGAATGGGCTGAAGGTATGTGATGCAACAACCTTTACGAAGCTACGTGCTTTGGGATTTGGTCACTGCCTTGACAGGAATAATTTCTTGGAAACTCTATGTATGCTGACTTAAGTTGCATTCAGAGTTGTGATCAGGGGAAGGAGGCAGGTCAACAGTTCTCTCCCATTACAACCACTGACTGTAACACTGTTCCAGAGAGCCAGGCTACAAGATGAAGCAGAAAATATAGCTGCTGCACCCCACCCTCTTTAGTCTCCATCTGGGAATCCGTGGAGGAAAGATGCAGAACAAATGTATCTAAGTCAACAAATGGGCTGATGCTTTAAAACCCAAACAAAACCAATTCAGACCAGATGAAGGTGGTGGGGAATTTCACTGCTCTGCAGCGATGCAGAACCAAAGGATGAGAACCAAATCTGGCCCATCTGTGGTCCCTTTCCCTGAACTACCTCCTTTCCCATGACCACTCATTATCTGTTCAGTTCAGGGCTTTTGCATAGTTTTTCCTCCATTCTAAAAGGTTGACTTGCCTCTCCTAAGACTTGATCACTAAAATACGCTGGTAGTAGTGGTAGATGAAGGCTCAGCTTCTTTTGCCTTTGGTTCAGTCCAGGCTTTTTCAGTCTCACTCACCACTCCAAAATGGAGTTTTCCCTTAGGCTAAAAAAGGATCAGCATGCCAGCTTGAGGCCGATGCCTGCATCACTGGATAGTGGGCCATCGACTGGCCTAGCTAAACAGGTCTGGGATGTAAGCTTGCACACAAGTCCCTGCAGCCTGCATTGACATGTTCCTGTGCTCCCATATCAAGTTCTGATGGAAACAAGATGGCATCTCTTAATCTTCCAGTTTCTACCTAAGCCACTTTAGTTTTCCTTCTAGCAATAAAAACAAAGGAGGGATGGGACTGAAGCTGAAAATGTTCGAATAAGATACCCCACTTGCTGTTGAACCTATATTCCAAATTCTTAAAAGGGTGCAGGAGCCATTTTTGCCTTTGCGGACGAGCTGCATTTCTATTACCATCACTGGCACCCCATGGAATTCAGAGGTTTTCTGACTCGCTGTGGAGTAGTAATAAGGTCAAATTTAGCATGTTCTTGAGCCTGTGGATTGTTAATTAAGTCAAATTTAACTTGAGAACAAGCTAAATTTGACCTATTTTCCACTCTGTAGAAGTAATTGGTTTTTCGCTGCCCTGGCAAGTAGCAGGGATCAGAAAGAACATGTTCTTTAGCATGTTCTTGAGTCCATGGGCCACGTGTTGCCCAGCCCTGAACCAGAGCTTTATCCGGGATCCTTTCCTACGCATTGAAACTAATAAGACCAACTTCCAAATTCACTGGACTAAGAGGCACAAAGCTTTCAGAATTTGTTATCTGTAAACTTTAACAACACCAGATCCATACATTCCAGATGGGCAGACATAAGTCCTTATGTCAAGGTAAAAGAAGAAGCTATATTTTCTCAGTGTTAACATTCAAAGAGTTTTGAAAAATACATACATTTGTAGCTGGATTCAGGGGACATGCCTTTGCATGGCCATAACAGATGCACATTCCTCCCACAGATATATCTTTTATAGAATAATAATACTGCAAATAAAAAAATGAATAAATTAAATTATGATTACTTATCACCTGTTTCTATAAAACCTCCTAATGGTAAATGAAAAATATATGGCAATAAAACTTTATACTGAAGTCAAGGAAAATAATTCAACATACACTGCACAGTTTAAAAACCACATAGATAAGTGAAATGCATCCATTTTAAAAGTTCAAAAGAGCATGTTTGATAAGCCCTTTGATGAAGGATCTATAGGACTCTCTCACCCATACAGCTTATTCACATGTCACAAATAAAAGCCTGCTGAAATACCAAACATATCCCAAATTTCCACCTCCAATTTTCATCAATTCTCCTTCATTTTACCCCTGTGAAATGAACACCTTATTTTAGCTTTCTTCTCATTCTTTGCCGTGGAGATCTGGTGCCATCAGGGGAAATACCACACTGGAATGAAAATGTTGAGGTTCCAGTCGTGCAAGCTGGAGGAAATAATGATGAGTAGCTGAAAAGAAACCTGCCCATGGGATACCCACATTGGATGAAGTATCTTAGTCAAGACCTCCTTCCGCTCTGCAGCCACTATGCCCTGAAAAGCCATTCCAGTGAATTGTGCAAGTCTCCAGGACTGTGTGGCAGAGGCCACAGTGGGGCGATTGATTAACCCCGTTCTCATAGGAACTTCGGCTGGATCTCATAACCTTCCACAGACAAAAGGAGCCCTTCTGGTCATGAAAGGGATCCTGGGAATCCAGCTCAGAGAGCCATACTTATAGGTAGGTATACTCTGTACAGCAACCTAACCACTGTGCATTTGCTCGTGACATTTAATGTGTTCCCTTAAAGCACATGTTAGGTGCTAACATTTTTGTGCTGGTAGCACTCACATGTAACACGGGTACCCAATACTCTTGGGCAGGCAACCTGGTGCCCTTGGGTGCAGCTCCTATAGCTTCCACCTGCTGCAGCATGGCCAATGGTCAGGGATTATTAGAGTTCAAGCGCAGCTGGAGATACCAAGGTGCCTACCCGTGCTCTAGCATAAAAATGGAGGGAAATGGCTGCTAGATATGGATATAAAATCATGTCTGTTTTGACCCTAGATTGACATATTTTAGGGATAATTATTAGAATCAAATATAACTACTTCCCTGAATTGCCATCCATAATCCACAAAAGTTCCTACACAGGAATCTCATGTGTCAAAGGGCAGGATTCAACACTGTCACTGAAACTTCTGCTCATTTCATTGCTCTGAGCATTTCTGTTCATTTCTAGCTGCTTTGAGAAAGCCCCGACTCTTCATTTCATTAGTGGCAGATCCCGCTGGCGCATGGGCAGCACAGGGGACTGCCCCATTTTGCAGTTTTCCCTTAGATAAGGCATGCTGGTTTTAAAGATTTGTAGTGCCTAGTGCCATTACAATAAAAGTTACAAACTCAAGTACAGCTGTGCTCTTTTGTTTAAGCCAACATTTTATTTTATTATTGAAAAATTCTTATCCAGCTTTCCAAAAAAGTATTCAGGACAGCATAGAAAAAGTTTACAAATGTAAACAGTTCCAGTTCTAGTTTATTGCAGCCATTAAAATGTGTCCATCTCAAGCAACAAGACAGTTTTAGAGTCATGTATGAAAAGCACACGCAAGGCATCCTGAACAGAATTCTCAATTTTCTCTGCAATATTCAGACTCTCACAGCTGCATCTTTCAATTGAAGGGCATAATTAAAAATCACATGCACACCGGCATGAAAACAACGGTCTATTTTAATTTTAGGCAAGAATTAATTTCAGTATGAATTTTCATTAAATAATATGATTGAGGTAGTGCTGCTTAGGGTAGGTTAAAAGAATGAGAGGAAGTATAAGGGAACATCACAATAAGGAAGAATATTTTTATCAGACTCCTGCAGACTTAACTATCAGTTTTGTGTTGTTATTGATGCATCATGTTGATGACCCCACTCAACGAAAGATGCAAACTAAATAATTGATTTTAATTTTTTTCCATTCTATAACACAAAGGAAAGCAAAAGAAAGAAAAGAACCACTTAAACACCAAAGGATGTTCTGAAATCACAATATAGCCCATCAAAACGTCAAGGGCAGAAAATGAAAGAAAGCAAGCATTAGACAGTGGTATGGGCTTTCAGAGAAACTCATCAGAACATTTCCAAGTAAATGTTCTGAGAAATGATACAATGGGCTTAATTCATTGAGATCCTTATCCATACAACTGCCGTGGCAACCCTAGGGAATGCAGAAGGTACATAAGTGGCAGCGTTTTACTGTTTTTCTTCCCCTCTTTTTTCAGCGTGTTGGTGGTTTTTTCCCTGATTTTCCCTTCCATTTAACCAAGCAGACATTCTACCATCCTTGCCAAGACTTACCCTTCTTGTAACTATTGGGTCAATGTCAATCAGGTCTCTGTGTGCAAGCATCATTAAATCAGCATTCAGCGTCCTTATTCTCTGAAATCGCAGGCGAATATAGCGAGCTGACGTGAATTCTAGCAGGGCTGGAGAAGGATCATCTGCACTTGGTCGTCCGTTGATCAAAGATGTGTGAATCTGCAGAGTAGGATGAATAGAAGGTTTGGGTTAAGGAATAGTTCTTAGTCCTCCTGAAACCAGGAGGCATGTAGTATCAATTCAGGCATGGTGGCAGAGAAACAGATGCACTACTGAAAGCTTGTCTCCTTCTTCCAAATATGTCTCTCTGCCCGCTCTTTCCATCATTCTAAAAAACTACTGGGTAAGCTGGTTGAGCAAATGCCAGAGGACATCAGTAATACAAGTGGGTTATTATATATGGAAGATTTATGCATTTAATAGATTTATATACCAATTCTTAGCAGTTTGTGCGGGGATTAAATATAAACATTGAAATATATAACATATACAATACAAACACAATACTGTGTGACTATGACATAATTTAGCATCTAAATATTTTAATCTATGGATGGTTACAAATAAATATCAAATAACAATTTTACTGCACACATTTCACCTAAAGTTTGCATAGGTGACAAAGCTATTCCAGGGTGAGCCTGTGGATTGTACTTTTGCAGAGTGAATTACTGGCTGTCAGACTTTGTGTGATCTGTCACCCAGGTTCAGGTGACACAACAACCCACTGTGCTCAAAATAAAACCTGTGACACCCGTGGATTCTCTGCATGGCTATTTTGAAAAATACTACCCACAGTGGGTAACCTGCACTCCAGTTTGCATGACTCAACAACCAGCGACTGATTATCATCAATTAACCAGTCAAAACCATGTGAACCTATTTGATGACCTGGTTTGGATATCATGAGAACACACCCTTGTTTGCTATCATAGATGGGTTGCTCCAGTGCTCATGACTTGTTATAGGGTTGTTGTCATCTATGCTGCATTATCATGTTCTCTGAACTTGGACAACACAATCCATCATAGCTGAGCACCAACACTCAAGCAGCTGCTTTGCAAGAGTGGCAAAGATCCCTTGATGAGTGGATGCCGGATGTGCCCTGCTGAATGCAGCCTTCAAATTGCCCTAGTGGCACTTGGGAAGCGCTGTCAGAAGTGATTGGGTCATGCTAGGAAGAGCTTGTTGAGCTAGTGGCCTTCAGGACGAACATGAGACAGGCTGGTGGTCACACACGTTCACTGTAATCATGCCTGTGCCATTGCTGGGATCCAGTTTGAGGGGAACAGTAGAGGGGTCTCATGTGTCCCATGAGCCACATGTTGGACTGCTCCATTCTACCTAAAAGCAGGTATAGTCCCTTGCATGCATGCTTCCCATGAGTTAACACCCCTGGCATCAATGTGATTTAACTGTGAGGAAGGGCACTGAATAAGATCTAGTTTATTTCTGAATAGGCATGCATGGACTGATGCTCCCATAAGTTACTTCCTCTTACTCTCCCCCACCCACACAGCCCACCAGTTGACTGAAGCCATTCTTCCTATCCCCAGAACAGTGTCATGCGTTTAGCAGGTATGAATGAATATATAGTGGAAGGAAACTACAACAATAACAGAACCAGACTTGAATAAATATGGGATAATGTCAGAAATACTGTGAAGAGGATGGGTCAGGATGATTGTCTTGGGGCATGGCAGTGGCTCAAGCATTGCAATGCATATAAAAATGCCTAGCATACTGTGCAGGTATCTCTTGTTTTGTCTTAAATCTAAAGGCTCAGGAGGGTTGAAACCACCTCAGCATTGCTACTTCAATATGATTCATCTACACAACAAAACCCAGAGCCTTCTTTTTGTGTTGCATTTTATTTTCAGCATAAGACGATCTGAATACCTGCACTTTCTCAGGTACACATGCAATTTGGCCTTATATTGAACCTGGAAAATTCTTTCATGTGACCTGCCGTTTACAAAAAAAGCCAGACCTTCCTTGATTAAATACCAAAATGGTTGCAAAGAATGGGAGAGGCTGTGGACAATGACAATGTCATGCAAAGCACCTGCAAACTAATGAATGCCTCATGTGGAAAAATTCTAAGTCTCATTAATTCAATTTTGTACACTCTAATGTTTGGGAATGAATTAGATCCCACAGGAAAATACAAGGAATATCTGTATTCATACAAGCCTGGTTTCTTCACCTTCCATAATGAAAAAATAAAAACCTTGTACTGCACTAGGAAAGTATGAGGCCAGCTTCTAAGCTTTTGAAAACTCGCATTTTAGATTTCTATTTTTAAAATCATGCATATGCTCCTATTTTAACCAATATCCCATATGGTAGCTTCATGAAGCATTTAACAAAACATTTCTTTTTTCCTACTCACAGTTTTGGTATTTGAAGTAGGATACTCTGCCAGAAATCCACTGAGTGCAGTCACTCCCAAGTTGTTTCCGACACGATAATTAATTTTTTTTTTTAAAAAATCCCAGCTGTTTGGCTATGCTGCTCAAAGCATTTAGGTTCACATGCTTTTCAAAACAAATGACATTCTTGTCTAGGAGGGATTTCACTGATGTACTAATAAATAAAACTGAAAAGTCTAATACTTTCCAAAATTCTAAATACCTTTCCTTGCAGTATTGCTCAAAGGAGTGCTTACATAGTAAGACCACTTGGGCCCAGCCATGCCAGAACAAGAGAAAGTATTGATTTGTGATACATGCAATGCATCTCTAATCTCAGAATGTGTTGAAATATTGAGCCGTGTATTAATGATTTTGGTGGAATCTGGAACTTATTATGCAAGGAAATTAGAGGTGACTCAATATTCATTTGCTTGTTTGTTTATTTAGTATCTTTCAGGCTTACCTTTCTCTAAGATCATGCACCAAGGTTCATTGAAGATCAAAAAGATAATGGCTTCAACCAGAAGTCTCCAGTTCTAATCACCGAGTGCAGTACTCTCATGGTTTTCAGTGGATCCTTTTCTTGGTGAGAGGTTAAAATCAGCCTACTATATATACTAGGTGTCTTGATCTGGATCAGTTCACCATCCCCACATTTAAATAAAGACAGGGGAAATGTGGTTGGAAGCTACCTCCTTAATCTTGAATTTAGGTTGGCCCAAAGGCCTCTCCTGATCCTTTCCTTGGCACTCTGTGTCACAGAATTGGGGGACTTTTCAGGACATGGTGGCATGTAGAACGAGAAGGTACTTCCCTTTCATTTTTGTTCAAGGATTACTCTCTGAGTCCAGACTCCTTCTGCATTTGGATCCACCTCAAATGCAAGAGTGAATTGAGAAACTGGTGCAGCACATTGTACTAAAATTAACACCCTTTTTATTAGCCTAGGCCAATTATCTCTGCAAAAGTAAAGTATTTTCCATTTTTAGAAGGCTTTCAAGGATTTAACTATGGCCAGCAATCCCAGCTAGACCCCTGACAACTATTCCCACAGCCCAGTGATTAGTTGGCCAGTCAGGAAAAAAAATATTTTCATTTTCCTTTAAAATACTTACTGCAAGTTTGGCTGACAAACCACTGTAAGTTATATTACAGTGTTAGTTAATAAGAGCAATTTGGATTCCTTAAAAATAAGCAAGGGCTGATAATCTTAGACTGATTGTGAATCTGATTGCATTAAGTATACAGTGGCCATAGCTGCCATTATCCCTCTGGATGAAGAGAAGACCTTTAATAACGTTTACTAGAAAGTTACCATTGCCATATTGAGAAATTTCAGTTTTCCTCTGGAATATCATAAATGCGTCAAAATTTTATATGAAATTCCTAAAGCCAGAGTTGGGTCCAATGGAGTCTTTTCTGCATCATCATCATTGTTATTTCTACTGCTGCTGCTACTCATACTATTGCAATTGACTTGAGAAAGGTATCAGACAGGCAGGCCCTCTTTCCTCATTGATATTCAGTTATTGTTTGGAACTCCTAGTATGTGCTATATAACAAAATCTTAATATTCACAGATTTGTATGTAATGTCCAAAACTATACACTTATGCTTTATCCTGATAGTCTATGGTTTATTTTGTACCCCCATTTATTTGTTCTGGCTTGGATGCAGACAATTAATATTTTTAGACAATATCTGTTTATTCTGTTAATTGGTTAAGTCTACTGAAGACAATACATCCCATAGTGTGCCACCTAACTGACAGTATAGGCTCTGTGTTCAGTTTGTCACCTATTTGGGAATACTTGTCCCAAGAGACGCAGCACAGATGATTCAGTTAAACATCAGTAAGTTGATAAATGAGGTCTCAAGGGACATTGTCAGATGGACATGTATATTGTTAAGTCTATGGGATAGGGTAAACACACTTAAAAAGAACATAATACCTTGAATTGTTTGTGTTTTACATGATATTACTTTATACATGGCAAATAGTTACAAAAGCTTAATGCTTTGTTACATAAAATTTTCTATCCCATGGTTCCACTATCCCATGAATATCACTGAAATGGATGCTACTTTTGATCAGAGACGTTGGACTCCCCTACCCTCTACAAACCATCAGTCCCATTTGTTGGCATGTACTGGCTTTTGGCTGCTTCACTTAAATTAGGTTTATTTCCCTGGCTAGTTTTAGAATCTTCATTTCTGGATCCTCTTTCCAAGTAGATTTCATTGGGCTCCTGCTGTACCAGAATAGATAATGTGTTTCCTCCAGTTATGGCAGCGAGACAGTTGTGGCATATATTTTCACACCAATTGCTGTTTTACATATTTTTACATGCACAATTATGAGGAGATCCTGATATAAAAATTGGCAAGAAAACATTTGTTTGGTGGACTTGGACTGACTGGCTGATTTTTTCTTTAGATCAGCTTGTCGGTGCTGACGACAATTTTCTGCCATTTTCTGCTTTGTATGCTAAATACAAGTTGCCAGCTACAGCAGCACAGCAATATATGTAACTGAAACATTTGTTAGAATCCAGATTTGGTCCTGCTGCTTCACAGCTCCTGTGTTCTTGGAGGTACTGATCGAGGCTGAACAGCTACATTGGCCTACAATTCATGACTACTAATATTTACTATTGGTTAACAAATACGATACACAGCCAAGTCTTAGCCCAGAAGGGAATAATGAACTGGAACAGCCCATCTAACCCAATCTAAGCCCATGGG